AGCCCGGAGCCCCCCACCCCCGGGAATAGTTTAGTCCAAGCCCCATTGAGGGCAATGGGAGAGTCCCGAACACCCCTTCCGGTGACCCCTGTGGGTGTCCCCCTGACCTGTCCCCAACCGTGACCTTTGCCCTCTGTCCCTGCAGTGGCCCTGCTGTCCTCGCCGGGGCCGGAGAGCGTGCAGAACCGGGTGGCCCGCACCCTCGCCAACCTGGCGCTGGAGCCTGATGGTGCCCAGGACGTCCTCGATGCTGGTGAGTGGGGTCCCTGACATCCCCAAAGGTGTCCCCAGGGTCTGCGGGGGTCCCTTGGGGTGTCTTCAGGGTGTTCCGTGGGTCCCTTTAAATGTTTTTGAGGGTCCCTTGACTGTCCATGCGGTCCCCTAGGTGTTCTCAGGGGTCCTTTGGGTGTCCCCTAGGTCTCTTGGGAAGGTCTCTTATGTATTCTTGGGGTCCCTCATGCATTCGTGGTGGCCCCGGGGTCCCCGTGTCCCCTGATGGGTCCCCTTGTCCCCAGCGAGTCTGTCCCTTAACGGCTTTCTCCTGGACCATGGGTGCTGAGATGTCCTCAGGGTGTCACCTGATGGGTGCCATGTCCCCAGAGGGTGTCCCCAGCATCTCCTTCAGTGCATTTCTTATCACTGTGGGTAGTGGGACGTCCCCAACCTGTTGCTTAACGTGCCTGTACCTCCCCAAAGGATGTCCCCAATGCTTTCCTCAATGGCTTTCTCATCCCTGGGAGCACCAGGACATCCCTCGGGGTGTCCCCTCGCCATCTCTGTGTCCCCGAGGCCACCCCTTCATAACTCTGCCCCCCACTTTTGCAGGTGCCGGTCCCCTCCTGGTGTCTCTGGCCGCCTCCTGCGGCACCCCCGAGTGCCTCCACAGCGCTGCCCGTGCCCTCCGCATCTTGGGGGCCGCCCCGGCCCCCCGACGAGCCCTGGGACGAGCCGGTGCCATCTTGGCCCCCCGCCTGGCCTCCCTCTCCCCAACCCCCCCCGCTTGCCTGGCCCTTGCCCGAGCTCTGAGGGGTCTCACTGACAGCCCCGGCCCCTCAGCTGACGACGTGGCCCCCGCTTTACCCGTCTTAGCCGCCCTGGCGGCTCACGCCAAGCGGGACCACCGCCAACCCGCCTTGGGAGCCATTGCCAATGCCTGCGCCCGAGCCCCTCTCCGACCTGCCCTGGGGGCCGCTGGGGCAGTGGAAGCAGTGACGGAAGAGGTGAAGAGAGCATTGGCATCACCAAACGTTGCTGGTGCCACCGTAGCAGTCCGGGCACTCTGCCTGCTGTGCCGGGAAGCTGTTAACCGGGCGAGGATACGGGCGGCCGGAGGGTTGGGGCTGCTCCTGCGCCTCCTGGCTGAGCCCCGTGCCCGACCGTGGCGTCCCCGCGTCCTCCTGGCTTTGGCCGCTTTCGCCTACGACCAAGAAGCGTTGGTGGCCCTGGAGGGTCGCGGGCGCGTGCC